ATATAAAGTGTGACAAATAGGAAAGAAAACTTGGATTTTTTTATAATTTGCCGTTACACTGAATATACATGTCATAATAGTGTTTCCTAATTAGATATCAATGGAATTTCATAGTCTATTAATTCTTTTGAAAAGGTTTCCATGTATATGGACCTAATTTCAAAGGTAGCCATATGAATAAAACACAATGTATATATATATATATATATATATATACTCAATTCATTCATTTGTAGAATACGCTTGAATAGGTCTTTTTGAATAAAGATGAACACGTTTATAATAAGATTGTATCTTTCTAATGAATCATGAATATAAGATGGTTATTTTACAGACTGATTGTTCTCTATTTCTGTTATTCTTTATTGAGAAGAGTTGTTTTTGCGGAAGAATGAACTGCTCAATGCTTTCTTCTTTGTTAGTTTGAAAAGAAACGTGTAAAACGGATAGTCCTTTTTCGGTTCAGAAGTTAATGCATAAGAAGATTTCTTTTATACTGATAAAGAATTTTGGTCTTTTTAAAATAAATAAATTCACATCGAAAGCATTGATGGATAGTGGCTATCAGTAGAATCCAGTTTGAAACGCGTATTTTCCTATTTGGGATTCGTCAATTGGATGTATCTGCATCTCAGAGTTGATGTTTACTCTGGGACTCGAACCCAGTAACTTTCGCTTCAAACGCCATCGCGTTATCCAATCTGCAACTGAGTCTTGATAGTCAATTGCTTGTGCGATAGGGTTGTTCAAATAAACAATACTAAATGAATTAAAATTTTCATTGAGTTTCAAATTTATGTGTCCAGATTAAAGGGACTAGTTAGGTTCTAGTTAAATGAACTCATATGTCAGTCAAAAATTCATACAGGTGGATTTGAGGTTCGCTTTTCATATTTGGACTAAGGATACTACTTGTTTGCTTAAATCAAACGAGTTGGAGTAGTATTCAAACATGTAACTTTGTAGGTGGAAGGCGAACGCATTTAGTTATAGCGCACTATCTCACAAACTTGTTGATCGGATGTGTACCAGTAGTTTAAATGTGATGTAGACAGTCAATACACCTCAAGAGTATAAATATGAGATTTCATGTAAACTAAACCAGTCGACACTTGTAATTTTTGAAATGGTATGAATTTAATTAGATTGTTATAAGTTTTCAGATTATCAATCAGAATGTGTACGAGCGACGGTGAATGGAAGAAATAATATAATCATTATGTCAGATATCTGATGAGAGATTAATGAATGTATGAGTTTACATGAATTAGCAGTTGCTGCCGAATAAGGTTTTCCGTATATGAGAATGAGTTCTCAGTAGGTAAGGTAAGTTTAAGTTGTGAAAATGGCCGAGGAAAGGTGAGATTTACAATCGTGTTATTTCGATATCTTGTGTTGTTATTTAACTGAGCTGAAGTCAGTTAGGAGAATGGTGTGGGATGAATCTGTTGCTTACGAATTTGGTATTTCTATTTCTTTTTAGTTTGGACAGATTCGGCTTCTGACGTTTAAGTGCTACACAGTCCGACTGAATCTCTCAAATGAATCTTACAACGATAAAGTATTTGAAGTAAATAATTAATGTATTTGAATAGCTTTTAAAGTAGATTAGATATGATCAACGCGTTTATAGCTTCATCGAAACAGTTGGTAAGGGATTCTGATAAGTCGTAAACAGAATCGAGAATTGGACTGTTAGAATGCTTTTTCAAATACACCCCAAAGATTTCAGATGATTTTAGGACACATGAATCAGATTTCCAAGTTTTGGATTGTTATGATTGAGGTGTTTTGTGTGATGGGATGATGGTGAACGGTGTTTAAGGTGAACATATATCACTTGATTACTGAATACTTAATAATCTTTGGTAACATTTCCTCAAGCATTCATCGCAACAACGATGTGATCTTAATATGGTAGCTTTATGAATAACCAAGATTTTAGATTTGAATCAGGTATCCATCTTGAACCGTTCTCCGTTAACTAGAAGTTTGCTAATCAGTTAGTATTATCATCCAATCAATGAGCATATGCTATCATATTGCATAAAATAATTTCATGTCACTGTTAGATCTCATACAGAATGTACACTGTTTCATTGAATACCACATTTTGATTGTGGTATGTAAGTTGAAACATCATATCTTCAATTGTCAATTGAATAGATCATTAACCTTTGACTGTTGGCGTTTAGTATTACTGAAGATTAACAATGGTGACATGTAATCGATAAATTTAGTGGACTGATATAAGTGACGCTGCTATTGAAATACTTTACAAATCATAAACAATTTTGAATTTTAACACATTCATATAAATCAGAAGGGGTTTTGTGGAGATTTCAGTATTTTCATAGTTGAAATCATGAGTCAATTGAAGCTAGACCACCAAGGGAAACCTGGAAGCACTGGACGGCCGTTTCGTCCTATTATGGGACTCCTCAGTAGTGCGCATCCACGATCCCGTACTCACAAGATTCGAACCCAGGACCTACCAGTCCCACATTCATATAACTCTAGAAGTAACCATTGTATTTACTTGAAAAAAGAATTCATTTTACGCTTCACTCACTTGGTGATACCTAAATATTTGGTCTAGTGTTGGTCGAAAAATCAGCTTTGTTTATAAATGCTAACATGCCAGTTGTTTAATTATTAGTGTTATAAAAATAATTTATGTAAACATATTCACTATAAATGCTTCGGTTCTCTTATGGTAATGGATACTGTGGGAGAGAAAAAACCAGATTTCAGTAGAGGAAGAAATGATGAACAAGCTATGGAAGTTGATTGGACACATATTAGGGAAAAAAGCCAATTGAGTCACAATGCGATCCCTCACATGGAATCCTGAAGGTTAAAGGAGAAGAGGAAGACCAAAGAACACAACACGCCGAGAAATGTAGACAGACATCAGAAGAATGAGAAAAAGTTAGATAGAACTAGAAAAGAAGGCCTTGGATGGGATGGGTTGAAGAGAATGCTTGTCAGCGGCCTATGCCACATTGGGAGTAACAGGCGTAAGTAAGTAAGTAAGTAAGTAAGTCTATTTTGATGGATTGAGTAGTATATAACATTAAATTCTATCGAAACCGATCTCCATACTACTTTCCATTTAATACTTAATTGGATGGAAATTTATCTACTTGTATTGTGGTGTTTCGATCAACCCTTACAAGAACTTTTTGGATCATAGTTAGCCTAATTAAAATAAGGAATGAGCATTTTTTATCGTGTATACAATATATTACGTGACGACATATAGAATGTATCACTGTTTTGGATAACATCATGATATCAAGATTCATCTAGGTGGATATTGTGCATATTAAATCATTCGACTACACAAATCACCGTCTATATTTCATGATGATTGATGAAGTAGGATTAAATAAGGTCAAGTATCATGGATGAGATTGATTTACATACAAGTAATGCTACTGATTGTTAACCAACCGGTCTTAATGGAAAAAATAAAACAATTTCCTTAACAACCATTTAATGTTATTTGATTCAGAAGGGGTTTTGTGAAGAGCCCCACAATAGGACAAAACGGTCATCCAGTGATTCAAAGTTTTCCATAGTGATCTAGCTTCAATTATCTTATGATTTCAGATATTTGATTTTTATTTGCACTTAAATCGATACCAGTCTATGGTAAGTTGTATTTTCAAATGAAACTAATTTTTACAAAATGTCTAACTGACTATTTGTCTTATATATATTTGATAAAGTAAAATTCAACTTTAATACTTTATTAGACCTTTTTAAGTAGTACTAAAATTACAGTCTTGACTTTATTCTGCTAAAATATGAAGAGGCAGCATAGAGAGGACTCGTCTTCTCGCAGCAAGAAGGCCTGTGCCCTTAGTATATCGGACGAGGAAGGTACTAACGGGTGCATCAACTCTCCGAAGAAGTACAAAAGTACACCTCGAAAGGCTTTGTTGAGACGTCCTTCACGTGAAGACAGATCAGTTAATAAATATGACAACCATGGTTAGAGACAAACATTCTTACTTCGACCTAATCCCTCAGCAAAGTTTGTCAATAGCAACAATTCCAGCCGCTCATTTAACCCCCACAGTGAATACTCAAGTTCAAAGAAATCCTATGTGCCATCAAGTGACCGTCTATCTAGTCATTCGTCAAAGTCCTTGGTTAATTCTTCCGGTCGAGTTAATCCTATGTTGGCAGCAATTACCAAACCTTTCAATTCCTATTGAGTCCAAACGGGGTTCATCTGTAACGGTTGCGGCCGTAGCCGCAGCTGCGATAAACGCAGCTGCAATGGCTGCAGCATTATGTTCTGGAGTTGTATTATCAAGCAAACAAATGTCACACATAAACAAAGCACTAGCATCTTCTACTCGGACTGGCCGTGATTGTCACACAGACCTCCCTGGAGTTCCAGCGAGAGGTATACAGGTGAATACTTTCAAAAGTAAAATCCTTTAAATGAAGCTATTTTTATTTCGTTTATAAAAACTTTATCTGATTTCTTATGTTGTTTTAATGAGGTCAAACGCTCGCGCGCAAGACTGATAGGTCCTGATTTTGAATCTCACGGGGCGGGATCGTGAATAAGTACTGCTAAGGAGTCTTACAATGGGCCCAGGTTTTCCATGGTGGTCTACCTTCAATTGACTTCAATGATTTCAACTATAAAATTTTTATATATATTGAAGTAAACACACGTCAAGACAGTCCTACTGTACGGAGTTGAAAAGGATGAATGTTAACTGGAAAGAACTGGAGAGGAAGGCTCAGGACAGAGTTGTATGGAGAATGCCTTTGAGCGGCCTATGCTCTTCCACGAGGGATAACAGGCATAAGTAAGTAAGTAAGTAAAAAGTAAACATAAAACGCCTACAAACAAACAAATAATACAGACGTGTGATTGGTTAGTTAATTTTTTTTTGTGTTTTTTTTGTAACCCTTCAACACATTATTAATACATGTAAACACATACAAAAAAAAAGTAATCACTTGTTACTATCGAAAAAAGAAAAAACAAGAATAAAAGAAACCCTGTTTTGATTGGGTATATATTTAGTTCATTGAATTGATATACATCTTATAGAATAATTTACACTTGTATTTATTATACTCTAAATTGAAAATGAATTTACCATTTGTGTATACATCACATAACCAAGCATAGATAGATAGGATAGGATAGATACATAGATACATAGATGGATATACAGTAACCAAGCAAGTAAGTATAAATACAGTTTTCTGGTATGTTTTTTTTTTCAATTTTAGATTATTAACTGTATAGTGATATATACTTCAGGAAGATTGAAAGTTGGAATAAAGATTTTGGAAGGTTTATATGATGATGATGTATCTTCCATATGTTTGATACAAGTTTCTAATGTTATAACATTACTATTACTATTACTACTACTATTATTATTATTATTGTAATCCAAATTACATAACATGGTTAGTTACATAATAAAAAGACACATCTGGTTATATTGTTCAATTATAATTATATTAAATCTCGTATTAAACTAGTTTAATTTTGTCGCCTAACTAAATCATCATCATCATCAGCAGCAGCAGCAGCATCAGCATAAGCATCTACATCATCATCATTTGTTTCAATCTTATTGTATAAACATCTGTATTTAACTTATAGAAAAAAACATTCAGTGAAACAAGTTGGTTCCCTTTTCTCTCTCTCTCTCTCTCTCTCCCTCTGTCTCTCCGTCAAGAAAAGAAAACAAAGCGGATCAGTTTATTTCATCATAATTTACATCTTCTATTCAAATATACCAAAAAAATAACATGTACACCATACCCCACCCTCCCCCCCCAGAAAAAACAAACAAACAAAAAACTTGGCTACACATTTGATTCAATCAAGAGAAATTCATTCCATGTTATTAACTCTGTTTTCATATTTATATAGACAATAATAGTTTTCTTGTTTTTTGTATTTTTGTTGTTGCTAAGGCATACATATATATATATAGCTATAACTACAAAGACTCATTATACATTCATGAGTAGAGGATAGTAATGGGAAAAAATTGTTTAAATTAATCAAATTATTTATTCACAAATGATATTCCATTACATGATACATTCTATTCTAATCTATATTGGATTAAATTTAATATACCCATTTAGTATTAAAATTTCAATATGTAGTATGAATTCAGGAAATTGGTAAGTTGTAATCAATTGTTTTGTTTAAAGTCATATTGTTTAGTTGAATCTTCTCATTGATATTTAAGACTTCAATTGATCAGTATCTCAAAGGTATATGTTCATCTTGAGCATATTGTCTCGATATAGCCTTAATTCACAAGCATTGTAAGCAAAGACGGATGGTGGCTAGCAGTGGAATTCAGTTTGACGTGCATTTCGTCCTATTTAGGACTCGTCATCTGAATGTACCTGAATCTCAGAGTTGATTTTCACTCTAAGACTAGAACACAGTTCCGTTTGCTTTACATGCTATCACATCCTATCACTATTTTGGGATCCCATAATGCTTGTACCATTGGAGACTCCTTAATAAACACATTATCAAAAGTCAAATATCTTGGTGTTACTTTTTCCTTTGATATTTCTTGGTCTTCTCATGTTTTACTGTTATCGAAAAAAGTTTACCATTTTACTTATTACATAAAGAGGCTGCATGCTTTTGGGATTACTCCCCATTCACTCTTACAATTTGTAAATTCCTGCATATTACTTATTATTCTATATTGTTCTCCATTATTCTTTCCTGGGCTTTTGAGAAAAGACTTTGCTATTTTGCGTAGAATGCTGAAGGCAGTTTGCAAGGTATGTGGTAAATCTTTTGAAGTCATTGTTAATATGCTTGTGGATAGACATCTTAAGGCTTGCAAACTCTTGGCAGGTGTTATCTTATCAGATACTAACCATCCGCTTCATTCATATCTTTCTCCTTGTATATCTTCTGGTAGAACGAGATGTAAATACATTAAAATCCATGCACGCAAGCAAATCTATAAAAGTTCTGTAATACCTTACTTAGCAAATTTACTTTGTGACGAACAGGCTGTTAGAGCTGACCTAGTAAATAACCTGTACTTTTAGGCATGTCTCAAATTCGACAATTTGTATAAACTCAGTTTTTTTCTTAAAACTTTTTTATTCGTTTTCTGTTGTTTGTTTTGTTTTTGGTAAAAAAAAATTGTTGAACTAACTCATGTTGAGTATTCTATATTGTACCAGATTATTATAATTGAATAAAGCCATTAACAATAATAATAAACAATTGAAGGTAGACCACCATGGAAAACCTGAAAGCGCTGGACAGCCGTTTCGTCCTAGTATAGAACTTCTCAACATTCCGCATCCACAATCCCGCCTCGTGAGATTCGAACCAGGATTTATATATGTTAGACTTCCAAGAAGAAAGGATTTTTTTAAAAAAAATACTTCGATTTCTATGTTAATTAAAATTTGAATATTAATAAAAAATGAAAATAACCATTAGTATAACATTTCTATAGGTACTACTAATTCAATCCATTCTTGAATCTTTAGTTCTTATTAGGATTCAATAAGTGTTGATTTATATGTAGCTTTCTAAAATTTATCCCATAAGTATCAACAATATTTCTTACTTTGTGTTTCTATTGAAATAACCAAATATTAAATTCACTTAGTATTGTTTGTTTAAATCTTCCCATTAATGTTTACAACTGACCAGTTGCAATCCTAAACATCAATGGGAAGATTCAAGTAAACAATACCAAGTGAATTTAAACTTCACCCCATTGCACAAGTAAGTGGATATCAGGACTCAATAGCTGAAAAGATAACGCGATGGCGTTTGAAACGAAAGGCACTGGGTTAAAGTCTCAGAGTGAACATCAACTCTGAGATGCTGGCAAATCCAGCTGATGAGTCCCAAATAGGACGAAACGTGCGTCAAACTGGATTTCACTTCTAACCACTATCCATCTTTGCTATCCAAATATTAGTTCAGTTTTTTGTTGTTGAATATTTTACAATTCCAACGAACCGATGAAAAGAGCAAGAATAAACATTCTAAGAGAAAGGCATGAATACATTAAATTTCGTTTGCTCCTTATCATCTACTTACAGTCTGTGATATTTCAAAATCATTATTACAAAATGTGTTTAAATTACTTTCATAAAAGATTCAAGTTGGAAGTTATGTTAACGTATATTGTGGAGAGAGTGTTAATAAATTTAATAAAGGCAAAATCCAACTCACACATCCTCGCCTTGCCTTCTGGATCATGGCAACCATCCCACGTACTAAAGTGAGCAGTAATGAAGGTGGTGGAGGTCGGTCTAATCAACCACTCTACCAATACCCGCAAACAATTACGAATACTATAAAGAGTCATTGCATAACTATTGAGGGTTCAAAAGAGTGGTTAGAAAAGAGTCTGCCCCCCCCGAAAGGGTTGTGAGTGTTATGTAATGGTTCTGCGTAAGCAATGCAGAAATAGTTATCCCTCTCCGGTAGTTATGCCGTGCTTTGGTGTAGTACTCTTCTGCAGAAGGGCCTACTAGGCTTCACCATTCTTATAGCTGGAAGGGGCAACAGACTGAATGTTGTAAATATATCCACCTTATGTAAAAGAAAACTCTATAATATTGATTGTGACAACAATTCGAACGGCTAAAAACAAGTGAATACATAATTAGTAAACGTTGATAGGAATAAAACGAATAAAGCTCAGTTAATAAAATAAGATTATTATAATTATGAGAAGGGGTTTTGTGGAGATTTAGTATTTTCATAGTTGAAAGCGTATCGGTTCAGCGGTCTATCGGTTAAGTGCTCTGACGCGAGACTGGTAGGTCCTGGGTTTGAATCTCGCGAGTGCGGGATCGTGGATTCACACTGTTGAGGAGTCTCACAATAGGACGAAACGGCCACACAGTGCTTCCAGGTTTCCCATGGTGGTCTAGCTTCAATTGAATCACGCTTTCAACTATGAAAATAATATTAACAACCTGGGAGACAGTCAAAATAAAAGCTCGATGATGTAGTAATTCGTTTTTATATATCCACTGAAATACACTATTCTTTATAACCAATATAAATTCTAACATGCTCAATCACCTGAAAATGGGATTCTTCGAAATTTTCTATCAAGATTTTTTCAGCCATTATTCTCATCAGAAGAGGGTTTTTATGGAGATTTCAGTAATTTTAATAGTCGATTGAAGTTAAACTACCATGAGAAATCTGGGAGCGCTGGATAACCGTTTTGTCCTAGTGTGAGACTCCTCAACAGTACGCATCCACTTTCCTCCGCCTCACGACAGATCGGTCTCGCGCGCGAACGCCTAACGTCTAGACAACTGAGCCGTCATCTAATGGTGTTAGTGTCTAACTTCGACCAATTCACAAAATTGCACCAACGCCCACGATTGTCTTTTTTGTTGTTTATTTCTAATTTCACTGAAACTAACACCTCATTATTCTATAACATAACAACTATCTAGTCATCTAATATGTCCTATGAATAAGGAATTTCAGTATTTTAAAATAATTTTCATTATAAATTTCGTGTGTAAATAAGAGACCTATAGGCCCTGGATTCGAAATCTTCGGGGTAGGATCGTGGATATGCACTGTTGAGGAGTCCCATACTAGAACGAAACGGCCGTCTACTACTTCCAGGTTTGTCATGATCCTCTAGCTTCAGTTGACTTAACAACTCCATTAAATAAAAGAATTTTTATTAAGTTTTGTTCATTTGTATATTCCATATTAGCTAATGGTTTGTTTCATGATACGCTTGCCGTTATATAAAAATTGGATAACACAACGTGACAGTAACTTGCTATTACATTTAGATAACATTTAGAATTCTTATTGTCATTGATTTTTGAGTATGGTTTATGGATAACATTCACATTTCCCTATTCTTGGTTGAATGTTTGAAGTGACTACATTATGCAATAGTGTTCTAATATGCCACAGCTATTTAAATTATGTATCTGAAGTATATGAGAAATAGTTCATTTATACTTAATAGTAGAAAAACTTATTTTACAATTAATTTTTGTTTCATCGGTTTAACGTAAAGTGGCTCATTAAACATAGAACATTAATCACAATTGATTGATCACTGGGTGGTGATCAATGTCATGTGTGACAAGTCCTTCTTAGTGCTGGTCGAATGCTATCGATCAAGTTGCAATGTGGCCACTAGTCTAGGTGACTCGACACTGCGTGCACTACGTTGAGATAAGATGGTGTTTGGAGGTGGTCAACAAGAAAATTGTGGACCCGTGTTTCGTGCTACTTGGCACTCATGAGCAAGGTGTACCAGGACTAAGAAGGACTTGACACGTATGACATCGATCACCGCACAGTGATCAATCAATTATGTTTGCATCTCAGTCCTACAGAAGGTCGGTCGCAGCCCGAGTAGCTCAGTGGTAACGTCTTTGATTGTGAAGATAAGTGACACAGGGTCGAATCCGTCAGCGAGCACCAGTTCCCTCAAAATTATAGGTACACCTTGCTGACGAGTGCCAAGTAGCACGAAACCCAGGACCAAGGTTTCCTGTTGACCACCTCCAACCACCATCTTATCTCAACATAGAACCTTGATTTGGTTTTATTATTCGTAAAAATTATCAGCCTTATCATAGCATCTGTTGTATATCCAATCATGGTATGATGTCTTCGTAAATCCTTCAAAGTTAGTGTCGTTTTGAAGAGACTGTAATGGATTTAGACAGAAATATTTCATTAGTGAGTTTTTATACATATTCAAGGTTTAATTCTCAGTATATTAATTTACCCTTCAGGTACCTGGGATCTCATACACCAATAGTGTTTAGAAAAAAACAATTTAGAACTCTTAGCATTGCACATCCACGATAAGGTAAACGATTAAGACTACACCCTCTAGGTCTTGTTTCAATAGCTTTTCTTCTTAATGTTGACTTGGGATTCTATGAAACATATTTCCTGCTTTGGTCATTTTGAAGCTTCACATGCTCGTCATTTATGGATAACAATCGTATAATATTTTGAGTAGCAACAATTGGTTACTCAGTACCAGTTGGCTGAGAAAAAATTCCTATAGTTCTAATGAGAACCTGTGACCAATAGAGTTTAACCAAATGAAGAGTGAAACCGTTAACACCATCGATATTTTGTGACTGTTGTCCAACACTTCGAAAAAAAGTAG